TTCCCCCATTTGGTCTCACCTAGGATGGTGGCTCCAGGAGCAGCTGAGTTTCTTGAATTAGAAAGCAATGGATTTCTTGCTTGGCTGCTAAGCAAAAAGTCAGCAGTTTGAACCCAACAGAAGCTCTGAGAGAGAAAGATGTGGCAGTCTGTTTCTGTCTTGGAAAGCCTTTTGAGCAGTTCTACTGTATCTTATAGGGTCCCTGTGAGTCATTGTTAAAGGGTTTGGTTTTTGGTCAATAGTCCTAGTGTGGTGCTTCAGGATAATGCACTAGATGGCAAGGACAGTTTTAGCTACAAGGCTGACGATTCAAATCCACTAACCACTCCTTGGAAACCAAATACAGGGTCTCATGAGATAAACTGACTTGGTGGCACACAATCAGCACCATCACTCAGCATCTGTCACTTCAATCAGATCACTCCAGTTTCTCAGAAGTTCTGCTTTTTGCTATATCTGTGCTGTTTCATCCTTTTGCTTCTATTCTCTTACTCATCTACTCCAAAATATATCACATCATTCTCAACTAATATCTTATAATACATACACTGATATAAACCCAAGTAATTATTGAGCATCCCATTTTCTTGAGGTAAAAGTGTTATGAGCTCTAGGACCCATGTTAAACAACTATCTGGTATCCAAGGAACTCAGAACAGCAGTATACATAAGAAGTATGCACAACGGAGGCAGCTCAACAGGGCATTAGATTCTTATCTGGTCCATGTTTAACCATTTCTTACTGACCATATCTAGCGTAGTAGTTACGAATCGGGCTGCTAACCTCAAGGTCAGTAGTTTGAAACTACCAACTGTTTTACAGGAGAAAGATGAGGCTTTCTGCTCCTGTAAAGATTTTCAGCCTTGGAAACCCTGTGCAGGGTCACTATGAGTTGGAACCGACTCCACCATGGTACTTAACAACAACTACAATGACCACACCCATAACAAGGACCTTAGGCAATGCTCTTTTCACACCTTATCTTGTTTAATTTATGGTATAATTGCTTGATCACTAAATTAATTTCCTTGTCTGAACACCACTGTCTCAAAAAATATATGAGATTATATATATGGCACTATAGGATAGGCACCATACCACAAGGTTGATTTGAACTGCAAAATCAGCAGTTCAAACTCACCAGTCACTCCTTGGAAACACTACATGGGTTACTATGAGTCAGAACCAACTCAATGTCACTTAACAACAATAATATATCAAATGATATATTGCATTTGGCAAATCTGATGCAAAAGACCTATTTATAGTATTAAGAAATGTCGCTTTTAGGACTACGTGTGCCTGACCCAAGTCAAATATCAATGTTAAACTTTCACAATGAATACAATGAATAAAAAAAAACCATGGAAGAATTGATGCATTTGAATTATTGTGTTGGTGAAGAACATTGAAAATACCATGGAAAGCCAGAAAATCAACCAAATCTGTCTTGAAAAAAGTACAGCCACAATGCTCCTTAGAAGAAAGGTGTCGAGCTTTAGCATCTCAAACTTTGGACATGTTGTCAGGAGGGATCAGTTCCTAGATAAGGACATCATGCTTGGTAAAGTGGAAAGTCTTTGAAGAAGATGAAGACCCACAATGAGATGGCTTGACACAGTGACTGCAACAATAGGTTCAAATCTAACAACGATTGTGAGGATGATGCAGGACCGGGCACTGTTTCCTTCTGTTGTGCATAGGATCCCTGTGAGTCAGAACCAACTCAATGGCACATACCAACAATACACACACACATACTTGTATATGTAAACAGATGAGTTCTTTTAACAATGTACATACATTACTTTTGAGGGCAGTTTAATTAATTATTAAAAGAGACAGCAAATTTACATTCAGAAGACTAGGGAAAGTGGTCACTGACTTTCTGGGTTGGGAGTCCATGAACTGATCATTAAGTCTCTGAGTTTCTTTATACTCAGCTAGGAGATGAGGATGATAAGTCCATCTCATCTATAGTGTCACAAGCACTAGCACTTCATTCATTCACTCACAAAAAAATATCATACTTACTCGCATTTTGACCAACGCTTATAAAGTAATTATGATCAAATGATTAAAATAAAACAATAGACTGAAAGGTTGTAGTTCCCAAGGAATTCACGAAAAGTTTAAGCAATATATGTGTGAATAAATACATAAACCACAATAAATATCATATTATAAGAATTTACTAGATCCTTTGTATTAAAATTTTCCTGTGCATGTCAAGAAAGGTAGCATTTCAGATGTGTGTAAAGCAAGTTCTGGGAGGTAAAAAAAATAATAGGGTCTTAACAGATAACTACAGTCATCCCTAAGTATCCACAGAGATTGGTTTCAGAATACCACCCTCAGCACAAAATCCTCAGATGATCAAGTCCCTTATATAAAACAGCTTAGTATTTGCATATAACCTACTCATATCCTCTCAGATACTTTAAATCATCTCAAGATATTCAAAATAGCTAACACAATTGCTATGTAAATAGGATGTTATGTTCCCTCTTAGCTTTAGAGGGGTTGCTTTGATCACTTAATTGCTTTGCAGAAATCATTTTCTCACAGAAATAAAAGGTACACGCAACACAAGTAGTGAAGGAATGAGACCTTAGGCTAGCAAATGTTCTAACATCAAGAATGAGGATCTGAAATGGTTGGGAGGCTTTAGCCGGGTATGTCTGCATAGTACTTCATTCATGTGTATTCAGTATAATGCTCGGTGTGGCAAATTCAAATTTTACTTTCTGGAATGTTTTTCAATTCATGGTTGGGTGAATACTCTGATAAAGAACTCATCAATAACCTAGAACCAACTGTTCTTCCTTAACTTTCCTTCTCCATGCCTAACAACCAACCAGTAACCACAGCCATTATTTCACCTTTCCACTTACATCAATATGAATTTTTATACTACTGTTCATCTGTGTTGTGTATTCACCTTCCTGTAACTTTCCCAGTGATGTGACTATGTATATCAGCCCTTCCTTAGTGACTTCATGGTTATCAGTATTTAAAAAATGCCTGTACAGGGTCGCTATGGGTCGGAACCGACTCAACGGCACTTAACAACAACAAGTCCCACATGCACACACACATCTTTGTTTTTCTTACATTCTTTTGAAAATCATTCTATCTCCCTCTTCCTGAACTCTGTAGTACTGTCATCATTTTCTTAACTTGCAGTCATCCTCAAACTATGGCAGTCTACCCTAATAATAGTTCCATGCTATGAAAACGTCTTTTTATCTGGTTTAGAAAAGACTTCATTGTTGTTCAATAGCTTCATTGGTTTTGAAGCACTGCACACTTCCTTTGTTTTCTTCCTATTTTTCCTTCATGCTTACACTATGCAAGGTGCTATTTTATTCCTTCTTCTCTTCCTCCAGTGTACATTCTCCATAGAAAGAGCTCATCCAATGACCTGACTTTCATTATTATTTACCTGCTGCTAATTCCCACTTCTGTATTTCTCAGCCCAATTTCCTTCTAGAACTTCATATCCATTGTATCATGTTTGTCTTGATCAAGACTCTAACTTTCACATAGGTCATACAGAATCATTTAAAAGTTTCTTGAAGCAGGGGAGTTAATAAATCAGGTCCATATTGTTTAAATATTACAGGTAACAATGTAGAAAATGGTGTTTAAGGGGTAAGAAATTGAGGAGAGTAAATCAAGACATGCAAGAGAACACACTAGCTAATAGAAGGTCAAATACACTGTTCTTACCTTGAAGGGAGGACTGGAGTCACTTGGCCTTGCAGAAAAGTCAAAGGAAATTATGAGATCAACTCCTCTCTGTGGTCTCAGGATCAAGGGATAGGGCAGGTTAAATGTGAGACCACTATCCACAACGTGTATCTTTTTACTTTTGACATCCAGGGGCTCATATATTTGTTCAAATTCATCAGGATCTTTAAAGAAGTAAGAAATGGAGAAAATAATGGATTAAATGATTATTTAACATTCAACATTATATAAGATCTAAAAATGTTTGTTAGATAAATTAGAGAGGAAGAATTCCAGAGTCAAGCCCTTAGGAATCCTGGTGTGACACTGTAGGATAAGCACTAGACTGTTAACAAAAAGGATGGCAGTTCAAAGCCAGCAACCACTCCTTGGAAACCCTATACAGGGTTGCTATGAGTTGCAAACAACTCAACAACATTTAATATTGTCAAAAGCAAGGCATTGAAACAAACAGAGCCAGGTGTAAACTCAGTTTTAGAGATTGCAAGTTAATTATTATCTTTAAGTCATAGTTTCTCCTTCTGTAACATCAAGGTGAAAATACCTAACAAGTAATGTTGCTATGAGGATTAAGCAGAACAATGCATGAGATGTACTTAACACAGGTGCTGGTATTAACTCTAAGCTATGCATCACAATCCCTTTAATGGTATCATCTCATGTTACCTAGGACTTTACAGTTCCTCATAAATTACCTTGTGTATAAATAATAACAGCCATATGTATTAGAAAATAGTTGTTTATGGATTTTTTTTGTTTAAAAAATCTCTAAAATACTGCATAACAAATTAATGTTATAAAGCACAGCTAGATGTGTTCATTATAAAGCAAAAAAGAACTTAAAGTTAGGTGACTTGTACAGCTTGAGGAAAGGCAGGAATAAATGACCTTAAATGTAAAACAAATGTGCTCAAAAGAGCTATTATTTTTCAAAGATAAGAATAAGGTCATATTATTAAGAAAGACATGACAAGTTTTGTTTTGTTTTTTAAATCATTATTTATCTAAAACACTCATGGAAGCACTGGGCAATATTTTCCTTTGGACAAAGTTGAAAAGGGACAGAAAGGTGGGTGGAAGGCTAGTGGGAACCACAGGGAGGAAACAGATTAACTGTTGTAGCATCTAGGGGAATATAATCATTGAGATGAAATCATGTATATAATTTGTTCCATGTAAAACTAATGATAATGTCTTTAAACCTTCACTAAATTCACAATAAAAATTTAACAAAAAACCTTCTGGAGTGTTTACTATGTCCAAGGAGATCTCCGAGACAAGGGAGGAAAAAAACAGGGCTCATT